GGGCTGGCAGTTCTATCCGGATTTTTGACTATTCGAATAGTCCGGATATTCGAAGATCGGATTAAAAATTCCGAATATCCGAATGAACGGATATTAACCGCATATCCGGATAAAAAAATGAACGGAATTTAACGGGATATCCGGATTTTCGAATCTCTGAATTGACAATAAAATGTATTATATTTTGCTGTTATTTTTTCCAACTCGGTAGATTCTGTAATTTTGCGCACAATTTAATTATAATGATATTTGGATAACCAAATGAACGGATATTAACAGGATTTCCGGAAATTAGAATAACGAAATGAACGCATATTAACCGAATATCTGAATTTTACCTGTATACGCGAATAACCGAACGGATATGCGAATATTCCCAGCCCAATATATGATGTAACTCAACTTTAACAAAAATATTCAGCAGGAAATCCCTTCTAGAGAAGAACGTGCAAGAAGAAAGAACTTGCAGAGAGCTTTGGCTCCATTACCACCATTATTTCAAAATTGTACGAGGGTGTAGAGCAGAGGTGGGCAGCTTCGACAGAGAATTTTGTAGTGCGCACAAGTCGTGCGGTTGAATTAAGCTTTCGCTGCCTTCTAAAGCAGAGCGTGTATTTATACGCGAATATGCCCGCCGTTCAGGCGCCGCCCAGGGCTGGTGTAGTGTGAGGGGTTTCTCTCTCTTTAATATTGTCAGGGACTGAAAAACGGTGTTGAGCTCGTCTGAAGTTAAAGGGCATCTCATTTGTTTGGGTAAGCAATAGGAAAGTAAAAAGTAGTGTGGTCGTCTACTAAAACCAACAACTTTGGTCAATCCATCCATCAGACATTTATAAAAAAAAAAAAATTATGTGTCCAAGTTCACTGCCCATAGCGTATCATTGAAAACAATCATGCTCGGATTACATCACTGATAACAATCTACTACTTGTATCGAAAACAGACAACCCCTCGAACATCCCAACGACTCGTCCAACCGAAGACAGTTGGGCAACTCATTCTTAAGCGAATGGTTAACGGGCAGGGCTGGGAGGGAAGAACCAATGTTACGCCAGAAAACTTAGAGCTTGAAATGAAACCGATCGAAAAGAGTTGGTTTAGTGTGTTCTCACACTGAAGGGTTTAAGGCTTTTGATGCTCTGCACCTCTATAAAAAGGGACTTTGGGATGAAATTGAGCAACAGTGGATTGGAAGGATTACGCTTAAGATGAAGGAAATTCATAAGCTGTCTGCGATTACGTGATAAAAAAAAAGTTCCAAACATGCTAAGCAAAAGCTTTGATACATATACAAAGCGCGGTATAAAAATACTTCCTAGTTGACTGTAAATAATGTAACTAATTAAAAACAAATTTTAAAATCCTGTGCTAGCTGTGGAACCTGTAGACGATTCATTTTGTGTCAAAACTTAAGGCACAGGCGTTATACTTTTACTAAGTTGCAAAAATGTGTATCAAAAATATTTACAGGTCTCGAATTGTTCAACTTAATGCTATTAGCGGAATGCACACATTTAATTTACCGCCTGCGGGATTTCAAACTTCCGGTAGAATTCCAAGGAAACATACCCCATTTATTTTGTTTCTTTTTTACAAAATTTCAGTCTCAAAATAGTAATATGTTTGTATAGTGGTTAAATGCTAAAGAGTTGATCCAAAGCATCAGCTGAATGACTGACTTGAATGGTGTTAAAGGCATTTACGGCGCCAAGCGTTCAATTGTTAAGCATATTTATGTAAAATTGTATACTTGAGTGGAAGCGAATAGCCGAAGATGTAGTATAAAGGAAATAATATTACGTATTATACAATTGATGATTTTTGCAAACAAACAAATAAATAAAAAGTAACAATAGATATTAAAATAAACTCTAAATCCGTTTTGGACAACGACCCTCAGCGCATAGAAAATGTGAAATACGCAAAAATTTGAAGAACGCCAGCCACTTGAAGACAATTGAAATAATGTTCGATTTGAACTTGAAACATGCTCTGAAGCATCTTGTTCGTCGTTTGGCTATTGGAGCAAGTTTTCGGCACAGCAAATGCTTCAACAAAAAAAAAAAAAACAAAAAAAAAAAACGTAAAGCAAAATTGGAACTGTTGACGAGTTATGTGTGCACGTATGTATGTACAAATATTGATCAACACTAACCAAATAGTTAAAGAAATGATCGTTCGCCATTCGACGTTGCCACCAACAGCTGCAGCATACTGAAACTTCTACCAACAACAACAATGTGTTAAAGACCAGTAAACCTAATTATTTGCGTACTTTCGATTTTTTATTTTTTTCCTGACATAACCGATCAGTGGGTGCTCTGACGTAGTACTATAATTAAATTATGAAATTAATGCTAGCAACAAATGTATCGCAAATAAAGTAAAATTTCAAAATGTTGGAGCTTCACTTCATCAAAGATGAGTCCATATTATACGGAAGAAAAAAATAATAATAAGTACTCGTAATTGCGCTGCGTAATATATACATTGAAAGACAATTATTTATTTGCTTATTTCTGGTAATTATATTTAAATTTACATAAACTATTTTTCGAGTATAAATAACATGTACTTTTTGCAATTGAAGCATAACAAATTCTTACCTTCAATCATCAAGTTAGTGTGTTAACCAGCAATAATGGTAAGCAAATTCATACAATTCATAGAAAAATATACAACATATAGGACCCGTTTTGTCAAAGGATAGACAAAACGATGATCTACCATCAGTCATTTAACAAAAGAAACATTTTCCATTGCAGAGATTCCTAGTGATTGCATTTGCTGTGATAGCAGTTGTTGGAGCGGCTACATTGCCGGCCGACTACCTGCCACCCGTTGTGGATAACAGTTTGCCTGTACAGGAATATTTACCACCACCATCTGCAGATGCGGTCGACGAGCAAACATTACTCGCTGATGATGGATACCGTTACAAGGCTGTACATCGACTCAAATACCGTCATCGTCGTGATGTAAATGAACTACCCCAAAACGAATACCTACCAGCTACAGAAGTGGCTCAAGAAAGTGAAGTGATTGAAGCCGCGGAACCTACCGATGAAGTTAAACCCGCAGAAGCCCAAGTGATCGCTGTGGAGGAAGCCACTGAACCCGCTGCTGAAGTAAAGACTGAATTGGCTGATGATGGGTACCGTTACAAAGTCGTTCGTCGCCTCAAATACCGTAAACGTCGCGATGTTGATGAGCTGCCACAAAACGAATATCTCCCACCTGCCGAAAAGGCCCAAGAAACCGCTGTCGAAGAAGTTTCTGAACCCGCTGCTGAAGTAAAGACTGAATTGGCTGATGATGGTTACCGTTACAAAGTCGTTCGTCGCTTAAAATACCGCAAGCGTCGCGATGTAGATGAGCTCCCACAGAACGAATATCTCCCACCTGCCGAAGAGGCCCAAGAAACCGCTGTCGAAGAAGTTATTGAACCCGCTGCTGAAGTAAAGACTGAATTGGCTGATGATGGTTACCGTTACAAAGTCGTACGACGCCTGAAATACCGCAAGCGTCGCGATGTCGATGAGCTCCCACAGAACGAATACCTCCCACCAGCGGAAGAGGCCCAAGAAACAGTTGTCGAAAAAGTCACTGAGCCCGCTGCTGAAGTAAAGACTGAATTGGCTGATGATGGATACCGTTACAAAGTCGTTCGTCGCTTGAAATACCGCAAGCGTCGCGATGTCAATGAGCTCCCACAGATCGAATATCTCCCACCTGCCGAAGAGGCCCAAGAAACAGTTGTCGAAGAAGTCACTGAGCCCGCTGCTGAAGTGAAGACTGAATTGGCTGATGATGGCTACCGTTACAAAGTTGTCCGTCGCTTGAAATACCGCAAGCGCCGTGATGTCGATGAGCTGCCACAGAACGAATATCTCCCACCTGCCGAGGAAGCCCAAGAAACAGTTGTCGCAGAAGTCACAGAACCTGC